TCTATTTCAATTATTTAATTTAATTGTTTTGATTATTATTTTTCTTGAAGTTACTAACGTGTGTATTTTGTAATTAGAAAGAGGTACGAGGCATTCAAGTAAGTATTTTAATGGTTTAATTGATATTATGATGTAGATATCATGCTTAGATCGTTATTTTGATTCCTAGTATCATGTCTAGGGTATCTTTAATATTAAGTATGATTTAAAGTATGATGCTTTCTATGTTCTTTCTAATGTTTATAATTATGATTAGTAATATTCTTATTAATAATGTTGATTATTTATTATGTTGCTTGATATGCATATTATTTTATATTGTTATTGCTTGATCACCTTTTATAGCAGGTTAAAGGAAATTCGTATTTGCAATCACGCTTAATAAGATAATTAATAATCTTGTTAGGTTAATTGTGATATATTCAAGTGATCGCCAATAATAGTTTGTTTGTACATTAAATTCAACCAACATAGATTAAACAGGTTTAGGGTTAATCCTATTGATTGTATGTTAGTCAGAAAGCACACATGAATACGAGCAGAATAAAGTAGAGGCCTATTATTAGGGCATGTTCAATCTCTTTTATGTTGGATTTGTACCATCATCCCCGGACCCTTATTTGGTTCATGACCTTATGGAGTTGACGATCTCTTGGATCGTTAAGGGGTGTAACCTTCACCTTGTGAACGGTTTACAAGTTCCTTAAAAACTTGTTGGCGACTCTTTTGCTCTATCTTCTTCCCTTTTGGACGCCACCGTACTTTAGTGTATGATCACAGTGGGGTTCAAGCTAGTGGGATTTTTAAAGGCTTGAAACTATTCCCCACAAAGCTTTTTGGACCTTTAATGGTCATATGAGCTTAAATAAGATTTGAATTGTTTATTTCACGGGAGTGTACTTATTCAAGTTTAAATTTCGTAATTGATTTTCGTGTGTGATTTAGTTATTTGCATGATTTGATTGTAGAAATACTTCCTTGTGAATTTTAGAAAGAAAAATGAAAAGATAAAAAAGTTTTGGGCCTTTAGGCCATTTTAGATCAAAGGAATGAAATTAAGATCTATTGTTTCATAGCTTAGATGATTAAAAAACTGAGCTTGTTTTTGACTCCTGATTACGAGTCAAGAGTATCAATTGTGTGAGAAATTGTGTATTGAGTATTATATTGATATTTTTGTAATAGGTAAAATTGTGTCTTACTTGAACCAAGTTTAATCGTTTGTGTCTGAAAATTTATGATGAATCTATGAGAACATCTAATATGACAAAACAAAGATCAAATAATTATTAATATTTACATGAAGTTAAGGCTCATGTTATTCAAGTTTTCGTATTTAGCTACCAATGAGCTTTTTATTGTTTGAATAGAACATGGCTTTCGCTTTGGCTTTGGCATTGTCTTGTTTTCTTTTATATCTGATAATGATAATGTATTTCGGTTTATAAATGTTGTAGTTCAATGTTCCCTTCAATGGCATATTAGAGAAAAAAAGTGGGCGGAATTGCTTCATAGGAAGTATTCAAAGTGAATTGTGCAAGCTGCCGAAGTCTTTTGTGGAGGCTTCATCATATCACTTTGACAAATGTGATGAGCTAGTGACATTGTGCAGCAACTACGAATGCTTACTCAATGTGGAGCATTTAATATTAAACCCCATTGACATGTCTGAGAAGCTTCTTGTCACAGAAATAGTTTATTATATCGAGGAGTTTTTTTCTCTCAAGTATCAGAAACTCAAGAGTTCTAACATATTTGCCGATGAGACTTCGTTGGGGGAAATGTGGTGGGATCATATTTCTGGGATGTTCCGGAGAATCTTTAGGTAAACAATTCCTTTCTTCATTTATATATGAGAAATTATACGCAATACTCTTACTTAAATCAATGTACCAATCCTTACATATTTTCTTGTGCTAGAGTTTAATTTTTCTTTTGAAAAAAACAAGTATAAAAGTTATATCTTCTTTGAATTCAAGCATTGTAAGTTAAATTGTTTGCTTATATAACTCTCATTATGTAAACTAAATGAATTTGTAAAGTGGTTCTTATTAGATTGGGTTTATTACCGAGCAAATGTTCATAATGCATAGCTAAAAAGAAGCATATACTATATTTGTAAGACTAAAAATTGACAAATTATGATGCCATGCAAATAATATTATCAATAAGGGTTACACATAGAATTTTCAAAGCAGTAAAGTACCATGCAGAATTTTCATTTGTTTTTTCATTATAGGAATTGAATGTTTCTAACACATACATTATATGTTTATTAATTATGTTTTTGGTCATTGTAATTGTAGGGATGTGGCTAGAGGGTTGATGTTTTTGCATGAGAAAACTAATTATGCTTGTGGAGATTTATCTTTCAACACTTTCGTTACATTTGGTGGTAGGGGGCGGATCCTACCCTCCTTGGACAAGTCCAAGAAAGGTGAAGAAGATGTGACTCAATTTGTTCAGCTACTGAACAATATTTTATATTTTCCTTTCGTAGGAAAATCTACTCCTGTCATTATTCTTCCGAGTGACTTGAGTAGACTCTTGGATTTCATTCCCCGCATGCAGTAAGTTTCATCATTATCGTCATCATCATGAAAAACTCATAACCATTATTGCATGAATTTTTTTATCCTTAATTGATTTTCTGGATGATGGATTTTTAATTTTCATTTGCACCTATTCTTGATGGTGAGAGTCAATTGAAGTTTTGTTCTTGGTTCCTTGGGTGTTCCTGTTAGATTCCACCACCCATTTAATTGCATATAGTTTGACATTTATAACCGATTTAAACGCTAGAAAGTTCATAAAAGACTTACTTGCTGAATTTCTGATTTGTAAGTTTGCTCTTCAATTTCTGATTTTAGGATTTTTGAGAATCGTAAGTTCTCCTTTTGAAGTTTTCAGTTTCTTTACTACTCTAGTTGTTGTCTTATGATGGTTTTCTTATTATCCATTTCTGCAAATTGATGAGATAAGAATTTAAAGCGGGTATGGTTAAGGAAAGCATTAAACTTGCATAGGGATGAGAGGAGGTTTTGCTTCGAGTATGATGAGTGGACAGAATGATATCGAACTTGACTTTTATGTTGTCTAGCGTAGAGATATTGCGATGTTACAAATTTTATATTGTGTTGTCCATGCATGTGTTAAGATAACTATTATCCTTATTATCAGCATTCATGATCAAGGTGGTGTTGTGTTAAACCATGGGTGGTTGCGTCTGTTTCAAAATGTTAGAGAATGGTGTTCTTGATCGTTTTAGTTAGTTTTCAAGTTGCACATGTATATAAATACATATGTTGTTAGTTTGTAATGTTTCACTTTTATTTTAAAGCTTAGGTTGTGTGTGTTAGCTGATGCTTACATATTAGGTTTATGTTTACTAAGGCTATAAACTTGAATGAATTTCTGTTTCTGATGTGTTTTGTTTTACTCTAGGAGAGTACCGACATATTTTCTTGTTAATCATCCATTTTTTTGGACGGTTCAAGAGAAAATTGATTTTGCCTTGAAGCTTAAGAAGTTTATCAAAAAGACGAAACATACAGAGGCAGTGGTTCAAAAACAGATGGAACGATTAGGTGCTTTCAATAATTGGTGGGATGGACTCGCAAGTGTTTATTTCAAAATATGGAATACTGCTCAACTTAAAAAGACTATTACTTCTTACAAAAGAGAAGTGGATATTGTACGATTTTTTAATGCGGCTTATTCCCATGTTAATGACGAGGACTACAAAATAGATCGCAAGTGGAAGGTTTGTTTATATTTGTGTGAATGTAACATGCTTGATTTATGTTATTATATATTGTAATAGTGTATTTTCTTATGTTTTCTTCATTCTGGCAGAAATTGACTGATGTAGTGATTGAGAGAGATCTGGAGGCATATTTTCCTGATCATTGCGTTACTATATTTGGATGTCTTTGTGATTGATGAATAATAGGTAAGTGTACCTAATTTGACTTGTCAATTCTTTAACTATCTCTAAAAAGAAACAAAAACTAAAAGAACTAGTACATCTTTGTTTTTATTAGATCGTTACGTGAGAATGAGTTGAAGGATGTCAACCATTTACTTCCGAGTTGATCATTGATGAGGTATGTTTGCTTTTGAGGCCTACGTTCTAGAATCTGTTCAGCAATAAATCTACCAAATCCATGGTCATAGTTCATAGTTGTGTTGCATGCTCAGCATTTAATTTTGTTATTTATTAGAATACACTACAAAAACCTGATCCTTTTACGACAGTCCATTAATGACGGGGTTTAAATCATGTCACTAATATAACACTTTTAATGACAATCTTTTAGCCCGTCATAAAACATATCCAACTTCTACTAAAAGCCCAACCCAATTCTTATTATGACAACTAAAACCTCAATTAAACAAAAACAAAAGAAAGGCCTTTATTTTCTGTTATTCTCTCCACCATAATATAGTACCAAAACACCATTTTCGTTGCTCCAAGAAGATCAACAACTGATTTTTCCTCCATCAAAATACACCAATTTTTTCCAGAAAAATTAGTTGCAAATTTTGATTCAAGATGTTCAGTTGATTTTTTGCTTTGATTTAGGTTAATTACTCAATTTTAGCTTTAATTTCTTTTTCAAACAAAACAAAAAAGTGTTGTATCGATTGTTCGTGGGATTCGGCTTCAAAAGGACTACTAAATCGTTGATTTGAGTTGGGATTTGCAAAAAATCTTTGATTTGAAGGTTTGTTTCTCTCTCTTCTTTTCTTTCATTTCATATCAAAAAGCAGCCTCCACTAGGCAGACCTCTAATTAAAGGCTTTCAAAATTTACTGCGGTTATAGATTTTGCCCGCACCTAACAGTCCCTTTGCTGTGTTTCAACTCAACCTGTAACATCTGTTGGTTTGCTATGTGGCAAAATACTGGTCTAGGTAAACTGTTATTTTCCAACTAATCATGTAAAGGTCATCTAACTCAAATTATACGGTATGTTTTCCAAGAAGGAAATGACTGACCAGGCCATGCGGAGATTCCAATATGCTGGAGAATTGGCTGAGTAGGGACAGTACCATCAACATCTACAATGATCTCCCCATCAACAATTTCAAGATTTGATAAAACTGATGACACATTTTTTGCACTCTTGATCACCCTGCAAAAGATAGATCACCAACAAAGTTCCAAATCATGAGAAGTTCCATACGTTTTCCTGCACCAGCAAGGATAAAAAAAAAATACAAACCATCAACCCTGACAAAAAAATCTACAGTACATCATGCATAAGCAGCAATGAACTACACTAGATCATAAATCTAACAAACAAGAAATCCATCAAAGTTTCCCTCATGTTGAATACAATTGAGAGATGGATAGGACCCCAAAGCTTGTTTAAATATAAAAATTTAGAAGCTTTGAAGGTATCACAATTTAGACGATCAAATGGTGCCTCACGCAAGATGGTCAACATCAAGAACAAAACAAAATATAATAAAACCACTCCTTACCAAATAACTACAGTCCTCTTTCTGACATCTCATAAATTTGTCCACTGGCTATATCCATTAGCATTTTATCTTTAAAATCTAAAACTATTCCTTGACTTTATTCTGTAAGATTTATCAGTTTGCTAGATACAAAGAAAATTCTAAAATCACTAACGAGCACAAAATGTCCCTGTAGAGAAAGTTGGATCTGTGAACAAGAGGCAACCACTGTGGGATGAAAAAGTGCCATCTTTGGTATGACAGGAGGGGGAGCCTCTAAAAGTAGAAGCATAACTGAACAAAAATGAGACATAGTATATAGCACCCTGGACTTAGCTAAGCCTTTCCAATTATGAGGTGTACAGACCAATATGATAATTGGTTTAGGCAGAGAAGCCAGCTTTAGGAGATGCGATCCAAAGACTAAAGCATAGAAATCACCTTAGGGGATACAAATCAATTACTAAGTCAGAAGAGCTTTAATTTTTCCTTTGGGAACTCCTTCAACTCAACAACACAAGCAGAATATCTCAGATGACACCTAAGATGTACATAAGCAAAATATGACCCAAAAACAACATATTTCTCAGACTCAACCCCCCAAACCAAAATAGGAGCATGCAACCACATATGTGGTAACAAACATTGGCGGATCTAGGGGGGTACACAGAGGTACGGTTGTACCCCCATTCTAGAAAAAAAAAATGATAACAAAGAGACTTGTTGTATCATATACCCGGTCTCTTAGATACTGTTACGTAGATAGCCCAAGCCACGAACCAGTTTGCTTTTACTGTATTTGTTAAAATCGAAGAGACTTGGAATTTACAAAAACTGGTCTCTTAGGTGTTGTTTAATAGTTCTTCCAAACTGGTCTCTTTTTTAATCCCTTTTTTACCCAAAGCCATAATTTGTTACTCATTTATAAGCCTTGTTGTCGGAGGATGTGTGTATCATACATGCAAATAGTAATACAATAGTGAAATGGATTAATAACTTAAAAATTAGAAGGCAAAAAATGATTACACTCCACATATTATTTTGTATTTTTATTTTTATTTTTTTTATTTTTTGTTTATCAAACTTAATTTCGTACCCCCATTCCACAAATCCCGGATCTGCCACTGGTAACAAAAGTTGTTAAAAAAAAATATACAAGGTGTCCTCATAGCATCACCCAAAATGCCACAACTATAAATTATCCCAGTTTTTGTAAATCTCCCCTATAGAATAATATGGGAAAGCCCTTGCTGCTTTAATACTTTGTATGTGTAACTATTATAGCTTAACAAAAAAGGGTATAAACAAGTGAAAAATAAGTTAGCTTTAACAAAGGTAACCTAATAATTATAGTTAAATGTAAATAAGTGACAGCACCATATAGTTATGAATAAGTAGTTATTGTTAATAATAGCATATTATTTTGAGCTCATAAAATACCCAAAAAAAAAAAAGGGAATCACTTTACTTGTTTGCAAAAAAATATTTTGTAGAAGAAAACATAAAAACTATAGATGACTTGCAGATGTCAACCAGTTTAAGATCCGGAAACACACCTACCAAGGCTCTGAAGGTACTTTTCATAAATAAGAAAATGAAGTCTATTTCCAGAAGTGTTTGTCAGTGCATCAAAAAGATTTTGTACAGGTGCTATTCGTGCAAAGGCTTCAGGGCCAACAGTTTTCTCATTATCAACCTATTAATCAACAAGACAACAAAAATGAATACAAAAAAACAGCCAAAGAAGTATCAAATATCATTCGAGCATAAAGCAATTAAATAAACAATCATTGACAAACTCCTTAGGGCATGAAACCATATGAATGACCTGAACAGCAGTCGCAGTAGAGCTTGAATAAAATAAAGACCATCCATCATCATCTTCGCTCTGCATCCTACTAGGAGAAGCGCTTTCCTGCAAGATTACCACATAACAAGGTCGGTAAGTCCAGATGGTGAAGGCAAACACTAAGTTTTTGCGGCTCAAAAAATATTAACCATCATGCAAATTCCTTGACAAATGCTACTTATAATACCAAGGTATCTTACAAAGATCAACAAGCAATTTGCTGTCTCACTTTGTATAAAGTTTCACCGTCAACACCAGGAGCCTCCCACGCAAGCATCATGTCATATGTCAAGCGACGGAATTCCTTATCGCTCAAATAATCAGCACGAGCGGTCAAAACATTAAATGCCCTGTAGCAGCAAAACTCTAACAAATGTCTAGCATAGGTGATTGGTTTGTTGCCACTTTCACCGTTCTCTACATCGAAACAACTGCACAAATCTTCCGTAGACATATTCAAAATCCTGTAAACAAATACAGACTAGTAGCAATTTATCTGATCAGGACCAATCCAACGAGGCGAATCCTCCATAATTGGGGAAAATTGATATACAGGTCTAATCAATAGTAATTAATTTATTCTACAAATTTTTTTAGTTGTTACTTTGAACATAAATAGCAATCAACAAAATCAAAATTAATATACAAAATCAGCAAAAATTGATAATAAGAAATCAAAATGAATAATTAAAAAGAAAAAAGAAAGAAGAGGGTAGGACAATTTACTTGGAACATCGAGCGACAACAGAATTAGCGATAGGAGAGAGAAAGGGAATGGAATTGGGAGAATCGGAGGAGGAAGGAGAGCAAGGACTGGAAATCCGGCGCTGAAAAAGCGTCATAAAGTTGTCGAACATTCTGGGTTTATTCTCCATTGCTGCTCAATTGAGAGTGAGTTGCTGCTGCTGTGGGAGAAATCAATGGAGGGTTTCGCGCTATTCGAACCTCTAACTGCAAGTAACCCACAATATGCGCTGTCTCTCCCGTTCTTCTCTTTATCACTCACTGTCCAAAACTATAAACAATACTCCAAACAAAACTGCCTTTCTCATTCAGTTATTCGATAATCACCGTCATCTATACCGTTTCTAAAAATGTCAACGTGTCACGTAAGCCATTTTATATTGCGTCGCGTCACCTTCCCAACATTTTAAGACGCCACATCATCACTCAAATAATCTTAATATTACGCCAGTCACCCATCATGGTTATACTGCGTTTTTTTTTTTTTTTTTTTAAAGAGGTTAAGCCGAGCATTTTAATAAATCAAATCAAGCTCCGCTAAGGTAATGATCCCTTGCGAAAAGGTACCAATACAAACACTTTCCGAATTACTACCCGTCTCCCATCTAGCAAATAGCAACCATATGAGCGACAGTGTTAAGTGCCCTCTTAACAAAAGAAATATTAAAAGACTCGAAAGATAAGCTATCATGTGATTCATGTTGTCTAACATCCTCATAGACTAAGTGGGTCAGAGTTACGCCTTGAACTTGTCTTCGTATTGCCTGTACCATATTCTTTGCATCACTCTCCACCCATATGTTGTGATACCCCATCCTTTCTGGCAAGTTGCACCCCATATTTTATAGCTCTAGCTTCTGCATATTCTGCATTAAGAGTCTTCCCTCTAGAGACAGCTGTTACTACAAGTAATTCACCTCTATGGTTTCGTATCACTACACTTAAACCAACCCTGTCATCACTTGGTAAGTGAACGTCAGTATTAATTTTAACACAATTAATAGGAGGGCGAACCCATGAGGGTGGACTAATGGCTATATTTCTTTGAGCTGGGCCAAACACTTTCACAAATACTTCATGTTCTCATCCACTAGCTTCAGTACTAGAGGTGGACATCGTGCCGTGTCGGGCCACCGCGGGCCATGCCTTGTCGTGCCTAGTGGTGGCTCATGTCGTGTCGTGCCTGCATTTTGGCGGGTCGTGTCGTGCCGGACCACCATTTCGTACACCCCAGACCACGGCACGTCACGGCCCACATGCCTGGCGTGCCGGGCTGGGCCGGTCACCGTGCCGCCCTTGTTTTTTTTTAAAAAAAAAAATCGATATATTTTTTTTGAACAACTTTTAAAATGGATACATTATTTAAATAATTTTATTAATTTATGTATATGTGTAGACACCCAAATGTGTCTCCCCAAAACCAAACCCAGTGATGAATACCTTTCACGTCATTTGATTATCAAACAAGGTGAAAGTGTGAAAAGTCTAGTGATGTGGATGTTTTTATTAAAATATCTCTCTTTCTGTTTTTGAAAACATTTCTTTTCTTACTCTATTTAAGAAAATAGTCAGTCCAATTTAGTTTGGTCCATGATAAAGGTCCAATAATAGTGTAGGGATCGGGCTCGAAAAGAGTTTTCCAACGATATATTATAAGCCCGATTCCGATGAATTATGAGGAAGTTATGGATTAAATTAGATTTGGCCCGAAATGAATTTTATATGCGGCCCGATGATCTAGAGGAGGGCCTATTAATTATTATTCCTAAAGTTATTAGGATTGATTTTAATCTTCTAGAATATGTAAAAGGTTCTTTTTAATTCTAATAGTATTAGGATTGATAATTATATTTTAAAGAGTTTTATTTGGAATAAAATAAGCGTTTTATGATAAACCTGATTTTAATTTGATAAACACGGAATTTGCTGCTTAATCATATTAAGAAGAGGATTCCGCGTACAAACGCGTTTTATCTTTTAATTAGCGCCAAAGGACAAAGTCTGTCGCCTGGCGCTAACATCTGTCGCTTGGCGCTAATCCTGTCGTCTGTCGCCTGATGACAGATGTCAGTTTTATTCCGAGTAGGACTTGATTTGTTTCCGGGCTATTTTTCTATAAATAGGGGTCGTATCTTCCCGTTTTAGACATTTTTATCAACAATCATCATCTTTCTCTATTCTCTCTCTAAAAGCTAGAAGCTTATTCTCTCTTTATTCTTTTTCTAACCTTCCCTCTTACAAAATTCGACATACATTAGTTCTAGACACACCTAGCCAAGTTCGAAGTTGCAAAGGTTGATAATTTCTGAGGGTTTGGTCCCAAATCCCTATTTCAATTATTTAATTTAATTGTTTGTTTATTATTTTCCTTGAAGTTACTAACGTGTGTATTTTGTTATAAGAAAGAGATACGAGACATCCAAGTAAGTAATTTAATTGTTATTATTTTGATATAGAAATCATACTTTAATTATTTTGATTCCTAGTATCATGTTAGGAATTTAGGATGTCTTTATGATTCCTACTATCATGTTTAAGGTAATAACTAAGATTTCTAATATCATGCATGTTTCTATGATGCTTCCTATTCTTTCTTATACCATGTTAGTACCATGTTAGTATCATGTTAGGGATAAAGCTTTAATTTTTATTGTTTAGTGACATGCTAGGGTTTGTTATTAATCTTGTTAGTATCATGCCTAGGATCTTGCTAATATTATTATTGCTTTGAGATTGAGATTATTATTATTATTAATATGATGATGATGATTGTTGTCAATTTATTATTGTTGCTTGATATATTATTGTTTTTATTGCTTGATCACCTTTTATGCGTGTTTAAAGGGAATTTGTACTTGTAATCACGCTTAATAAGATAATTAATAATCTTGTTCAGGTTAATATGATTATAATTCAAGTGATCGCCAATAATAGATTTGTTTGTGCATTAATATTCAATTAACATAGATTAAACAGGTTTAGGGTTAATCTATTGATTGTATGTTAGTCGGAAAGCGCACATGAATACGAGAAGAATAAAGTAGAGACCTATTTTTAGGGCAGGTTCAATCTCTTTTAGGTTGGATTTGTACCTTATCCCCGAATATCCAGTCATGGTTCCAAACCTATGGAGTTAGCGATCTCATGGATCGTGAAGGGGTGTAACCTTCACTCTGTGAACGGTTTACAAGTTCCTAAAACTTGTTGGCGACTCTTTTACTCTAGCTTCCTTCCCTTTGGACGCCACCATGCTTAAGTGTATGATCACAGTGGGGCTCAAGTGTGGGATGCTTGAAATATTCCCTATAGTATGTTATTTTTTTATTATTATAGTTCTTTATTATTTATGTTATTTTTATTATTAATTTAATTGAAGCAGCGAATGATTAGTCACAGGTCGTGTCGTGCCTGCCTGCCTGGCGTGCCACATGCCGTGTTTGGCCGTGCCATGTGTCGTGCTCACGAGCTGTCGCGGGCCAAAGTACCGTGCCGCCCGCGGGTTCATGCCGTGCCCGTGCCGAATTGTCGAAATCTTGTTCATCACGGCATGGCCCACGGCCCACTCCTCGGTCAATGTGTCGTGCCGTGCCATTTCCGTGTCGGGCCCGTGCCGCCCACGGGCCGGCCCGACTATGCCCTTCTATAACCTTCACATATCATGCAACTAGAAGCATTGCATTTGCTTGAGTTTGTTACAAAAAAATTGAGGTTGCAACACTCCCATGCGCTGCCCACATTAGAGTAGCCATGGTGCGCAATTCATTTGCCTTCAACTTCTTAGTCAACCAAACCCAACGATTAGAGAAAGAAGAAGATGGGATATCACCTGTATTCCAAGATATTACACAGTGGCTCCATTTGTCTGCTACTGCATTGCATTCAAAGAGAGAGTGAAGGATAAATTCGTTGGGCGCACCACACACAGGACACACCATATCAGGAACAATATGCCGGTAGTGTAATCTCTCTTTAACTGCGAGATTCCGTTTATTTGCACTCCTAAGGAAGTGACTTTGGAAGGGCATTAATCCCCTAAATTGAGCACCTGAGTAGTGTGTCAATCCCTTACTACCTGAGGACCCTGATTAGATGCATTCCCATCTTTAATAGCCAATATTCATTTATAACAGTATATATCCCATTTTTTGTGAACCTCCAAAATTGGGTATCACGTGGCCATCTCATAGAAAAAGGAGTGTTTAGAATTAAATTGCACACATTTACTAGAACATATTTCAGATTGCTTCATTTTATTTTATTTTAAGAATGTATGAAATCTTTAATCATTACGAGTATTATATATGCTTAAATTTTGGAATAATTTTTGTTATGCTTAGGAAAATATTTAGAATCAATCAAATCAATAAAATTTATTAAAATTTGTTAAGAATAAACTAACATTTGCGTTTAGCTCAAAATAAGTTAGTTCGTAAGGTTTTTTTTAATAACTTTTTTTTGAGTAGAACCGTAGAGGTTTTTATAAATAGTGGGTAGAGGTTTTTATTTTGTTTTTGTTGGCGTGAGTCGTGACAACAGTTGCATCACTTGAATGCAATGCACCACGGTCCACAGAATTGTGGAATATATATTTTTTTGGCCATATGCCCATATATTATTATATGCTTCATCCGTTTCCTTTTAGTTGACACGATTTTAAATAACGTTTACCAATACACAACTTCAATCGTTAATATCTTTAATTAACGAATAACAAAAATTATAAAAAATTGATAATTAATATGTGAAAATATATCTCACGACGAATCTAACAAAATTCCATATGATTGTAATTTTCATTACGTATAAATCACAAAATACGGTCAAAGAGAGAGGTGTGAATAATACTAAAGTCAAAATATACTACGTAGTTGACGTCGCATGTGAATGTGATCCGCCAAAACTAGAGCACTCTCCCACTCTCCCAGAAAGAAATTTTGAGTCCGAAAACCTAATTACATTACTCTCGGAAATTGATGTCGAATTAATGAAAATTGAAACCCTAATTATCTTTAGTCGGAAATGGAGGAAGGAGAGAGATTGATTCCTATAGACAGCGAAAGCATCAGAATTTGAAATTGAATGGCGTACCAACAAAATAAGGTACCTCCTGATACTCTTAATGTTGTGAATAATAATCCTATCATCGTATTAGGGTTAAGTGCATCGTCTAATTATAAATTTAGAGGTGATAGAATTATTGAGGGAAGGAGAGAATTATTGAGGGAAAATGATGGGAATGGAATTGTTGAGCAAAATGGCCAGGTTGTTGCTGGGAATTTGTTAGAGGGTAGGAGGAACAGAGTAGTTTCCCCTTTTTTTGTCAATCAAAAGGAAAACAAAAGGAAGCGGAACACGAGACTACGGAATGATCATGTTGTTGGGTCGGAGAGGAATAGGGAAAGGGAGTTGCTTGTCAGTTTAATGAATGAGAATGAGAATGAGAAAAGAGTTGTTTCTCCATATTTTGTGAAAAAGGGAAACAAGGAAATTCTGAATGTGCTAGTAAAGAGGGAAGATGGTGGTGATTGTTATGTTAGGGGGGAAATGAGGACAGGAATTCGCTGGGAGGGCTTTCATTGGATCTTAAAACAAAGAATCAAGTCCTTGAGGAGAAATTAAAGGGAAGGGATCTCTTAGAAATTATCAACAATGAGGACGAGAAGAAGAATGATAGTAAGGAAGAGAATAAAAGGAAAAGGAAGAAAAAAGTCCAAAATGATCAATTCTATGACGAAATTGGGACTAATGTCACGTTACCAAAAGTAAGGAAGTAAAACAAGAAAACTTGTGAGAAATTGGAAACAGGAAACAAAGTTAAAATGCTGAGGAAGAGCAACAAACTTGAATGTCGCATGGAGAAGAATAATGCTGGCAACATTTCCAAAAAAGCAAAAAAGAAATGTGACTCAGCAGCTGGCCAGGAGAATGACCTTGATCCCTTGTCACTGAGGTCTATACATGATAACCAAAACTGTTCAAAAGCTTTGGCATCCAAGGTGATCTCTCCATACTTTAGAAAGGTGTCAAAGGAAAATGAATTTGATGGTGAAAGAGACAAGGCTGACTGTAGAAATAAGAAAAAGAGAAGGGTTGACAAGACTATGTACGTTGAATTTGAAGGGTTACTTTCCAAATATGCTTACCCAGGGGACAGTTACTTGAATAGGGAAGAGGAAATTGGGATTAAGGAAGAAGACGGTAGTGCTGTAAAAGGTAAACAGCAATGTGGAAGCAGGACTCTTAGTGCTGCCGAGAAGCGATCTGATGCTTACCAAAGAAAAGCACCAGACTGTGCCTGGAGGCCACCCTGCTCTCCTTACAATCTTCTGCAAGAGCAGCATGCCGATGATCCCTGGAGAGTGTTAGTGATTTGTATGCTTTTAAATATCACTTCTGGACCCCAGGTACGTTTTTATGATGTGCGTTAAGTACTAAAATAACTTATTTTTTATTTTAGCCCTCAACATAAACATTATTTTCTTAAACTGCCATGCTTATGCTGCTGTTTGAGCATTTATTGTGTCTCATGTTTAAAACAATTGAGTAACATTGGAGATGATTATGGAAGTACTACGTTCTATGAAATTTTTGAAATGACTTTAGATTAAGGCATAAGTTATCTCTAGTTTCTAACGACGGAAGTACGACGATCTATGAAATTTTTGAAATGACTTTAGATTAAGGCATAAGTTATCTCTAGTTTCTAAGTTTTGCTTCCTCTCTGTCCACATTATATTAAACTTTTTTTCTTGATGAGTTTCTCTTGAAAAGGAGTCATATCTACACTTGATATGTTGAAGTTGCTTTCATTATTCAGGATTACATCCTGGTGCTTTGCAAAGTGCTTGATGAATACAAATGTTGCTTCTGGGTTTCTGAGTTTTTTACGTGTCATTTCAGATAATGTAGTGTTTTATCCTTAGCAACTTTGTATGTATTGGGTATATTAGTTGAGGAAGAAGCCTATAGATAATTACCCGTAGTTCATACCTTGTGATTATTTAGTCAGCTTTGTTGTTGGGAAATGGGAGATGTTTGGTCCTTGCTTTTGCTGGATGATCAATTTGAGCTGAGTCCTAGAGTATATAATATGAAGCTGTTATTTAAAGCCTTTATCTCATACAATTTTTTTATTTTTCATTTTTTTCGTAAATTTTGAAGTATATGGCATTTATTATCCAAGGGATATTTCTCATAGAAAGATACCATAAATTGCTTCACGTTTTCGTAAGAGCTTGCATTTTCTGTGTCCTCTTCCCTACTTATTTACCTGTGTGACACCCCTTTTGGTGTCTTTCTATTTTAATCCTTTGTTGCTTATTACTTTGTAGTAACACTGTACTTATTGCAATTTATAAATTGTCGATTGTCTTGTAATGTAACATGGCTTGTCCAAGTCGCTGAGCTTAATAGATGAGGTTATGTAACGAGTATTTAACAGTTATTAAAGTTTTGCTTTCTTTTCTTCCTCTCATGCTCATTTGTGTCTGTTTGTGCTTGTGCGCATGTGTATCCTTTGGAGGGAATTTCTTTGGTGAAATACTGCATATAATTTGGTCATGATTTCTTGTGTGGATTAATTGATACTTGAATTCATTTTGAGGATCCAACTCATCCAAGATTGATTGTAAACATTTTTTTGCGGGTTTTTTTTTTTTTTTTTTTTTTTTTTTTTTTTTTTTTGTGTAGGTCAAGAAAGTTTTGTCACACTTTTTTGATGTGTGCCCCAATGCTGAAGCTGCTATTGTCACTGATGTCACTAGAATTGCAAGTATGATACAAAGTTTGGGGTTGCATAGAAAGAGAGCAGCAATGATTCAACAATTATCTAGGGAGTATTTATCTGATGATTGGACACATGTGACTCAGCTGCATGGGATTGGAAAGTGAGTGAAACTGATGCTTCCTTGGTACTGTTAGAAAGACCTGCAAAGTTATTGACTTATTGTTATCCTCCTAAGATGTCCATAACATTCACCCACAATAGGTAACTGGTTTGCATTTCATTGTACAGGTATGCTGCTGATGCATATGCAATTTTTTGTTCTGGCAATTGGCGCCAAGTAACCCCAAATGACCATATGTTAAATTATTATTGGAAATTTCTTCAAAAGCGAGGCCTCAAAGAAGTTGCTTTGTAAGTCATTAAGTGGCTATATAAGATTTAGTACTTGATTGTAAGCCAGTCCAACTTCTGGAGTTTGGTGTACATATTTATCACTTCAGGGTACAAGTTGTAGAAACTCTGGTGTATATAACTAATATAAGTGTAATTCTACTGTAGTAGCTTGTAGATTGGTAAGAGCAGAGTGTTTAGTATTCTTAACCTATTTTATTACAGAGATGCTTTAAAACTACTGGAATTTGCTCACTGAACGTTCAAGTCTGTTGTCACTTATGGTCCTTGTGGCTCTGGTGAAAGTTTTGAGGGCAGGAAATTTAACAGTGAAATTTACAAATAATTACTGTAATGATGAAATTTGTGAACTTTGGTAGAGATTTAATTGAGGTGATCTTAAAGATTTACTCTGTAACTCATACTTTGTTTAAGGTTACAATTTACGTGATCTAACCATTTTAATTTCCTTAAACCTATTATATTTATTATTACTGTATTATATGATTAGGCGCTAAGTTATTGGTCGAACTGCTAGAGTACTATATTTCTTCCTCAGTTGCATGGATTGGGACCACTAGGCGGGATGTTGAACCCAATGAAAGGAGCTTTGTAGAAGAGTTGATGCCCTAAGATTGCGCTGGATTGGGGATGGAGTATTCTATAAATACGACCTTTGTCTTCTGAATTATTTAAGAAAAAGATTAAGCCGTAACATGGAGTAACAACAGCTCTAAACGCATGTGCCTTCCATGCCCCATAAAGATTCGATCAGTTCTTGAAGTTATTCCACCCCTTGAATCGGGGTACGGAGTTGGAAGGTAGCTATGTTACCCTTAGAGTAGCTGCGTTACCCTTGGAGAACAATCTTTGATGGGAACCAATAAGCTTCTAGGGCAGTCGTTAAAGTAAAAACTTGTTATAATTTACAATTGAGTGTCATTTTCCCGCTAAATCTATTGCTCCGAATTTTTATGGTTACAAGAGTTATATCTAGTTGCTGATGAGGAAAGTAATACCTAATACCTCAGGATTCATCTAGGCTTGGCTTGTCAAATAAAAATGGGGAGGGGGGAACGAAAGTATGTAGTTTAGTAGTTACTGCGTATACAGCAAAGATCCATTTCATTAAAAAGTGACAAAATAGTTTGAGAAAACTATGAACAGATTAGACAATTAGGAGAGACAAAGAAGAGGATTATGCCTTAAATTTGCTAATGATGGGAGCATTGCTAGAAGTAACAACATACAGTAAAAACTAATTAGCCTGAATATAACAACATAGGGAAGAATTCAATGCAAAAGCAAAAAAAGAAAGACATGAATTACCAGTGGGTGAAGTTGAATTGTCCATGTCTTGAAAAGAGCGAGTTGGTGTTTGCAAGCAAGTTATAGAGAAAACCAGAATCAGAGAAAGAAAGAAAGAAAGAAAAGAAGGAAAGAAAGGGAAGTGGTAGGAACTTACAAGACACTTTTACCTCCACCAACAAACAAGCAAGGGAGGGAACAATAGGTGTGGGTCTTCGTTCCCACCCATTATTCCAATCCATTTTGGAGATAAAAAGACGATCACAATCAGCTTTTGCTTCTTAATTAAAAAATGCGGCAGGGTACGTTCTATTCACCTGATTTTTACTAATCTGAACTTATCTGAATTTATTTGAACTTATTTTAGGTATAAATTGAACTTATCTTACTCCGTATTAACTCTGATTTGAACTTATTTTCCTTGAAATAAGTGAAAATAAAGTGAACAAAACAGGGCCTAAATAACCTCTCCTCCATCCAGTATTATACTCCCTAAGTCCCTTTGCACCTATTTTTTTTACCCCGTAGCCAATATTCAATTATATATAACTTGTATTATTATATTCAATTAAATTTAACTTTGTTACGGGAACATCAAACAAAATTTAAACTTTGTTAATCAATTAGGAAAAATTGATAGGAATAATCCCACCTTTTGAGCATCGGAGATTAATAATCCCACTTTTGGGATTCTTTTTAATAATCCGACGTTTGATATCAAATTGGCAAAGTGAAGTGAGTTGAAGGTGCGAAAGTGAATACGGTTGTTGAAGCTTTGACGTCCATAGCTATGTATCGGTCTGTTCGTGGTGTGTATCGTATTCTCCCTTGTTCTCCCGAACTCAAATGGAGAATATCAGCCGCCTATTTCTCCTCTCACGTCGACGTCAATCAGCCATTGCTGGTAATTTTAATTTGAATAAATTCATTCATTCATTGATTCATTTTGTCTGTTTTGGTTTTATAAGCTGGATAATCTGGGTTTGATTAACATTAACAGGTGCGTGATTTCATACACGCGGCGCTTTACGACCCTGAGCATGGTTACTTCTCCAAAAGATCAGCTTCAGTTGGAGTTTTGGATTCTAGTATCAACTTCAATCAACTTCAAGGTTATTCTCCATTCCAATTTCTGTCTATGCCCTATTCCAACTTCAACTATTAATTTTTTTGTTTCCAGGCAGAAAAGCTTATTTGCAACATCTTAATAAGGTTTACAAACAAAGTGAAGTTTCATGGTTCACTCCTGTCGAGCTCTTTAAGGTTTACATTTTTCTTTTTTTTTTTTTTTTTTTTTTGATCTAAAATTTTAAATTAGGTATTTAGATTTTACAAACAATCATCTCTCGCAGCCTTGGTATGCCCATGGAATTGCCGAAGCCATTTTGCGAACCGCTAATCTTTCAGTTCCGTTAAAAGTGAGTCCCTTATTCAGTTTTATGCTCAATTCTCTGTCTGCCTGCTTTTTCTTACTAAGATGTTATTTGAATTCAGATCTATGAAATAGGCGGCGGATCAGGAACTTGTGCAAAGGGTATAATGGATTATCTGATGTTGAATGCACCTTCACGAGTTTACAACAACATGACCTACATGTAGGTACATAGTCCAGGATAGCTTTACCTTTGTTACTTTTTAGGTGCTGGATACTGGATGTTCTCCTTATTTATTTTTATACTTTTGTCTGTTATTATAACAATGATTATTAGTACTGTTATTCTTTCATTGAATTGCATTTCTTCAGATTTCCTCTAATATTTAAATTGGGTTATTGTATTCACTTTATCTAAATCTTTATTTAATTTTGGAACCTAAGTCTATGGGGTGCTTTGGCGTGGGAATACTATGTGTAATCTTATCTTGAAGTTATTTTTCCTCTCCATTAAACTTCATGTGAGTTATAGGACTATTTTGGGTTTAGGAGAAATCTTGGGAGAAGACCTCTTTTCCGGAAAGTTATCAAGTGGAAATCCTGCTTCTTAAACCAAGTATTAGCCTCCATGAACACTCTCGAAGCCATCTCGGCTTGTCCCAACATGCCCATTCAAATCATCTCCAATATATAATTACCATCTCATATAAATCCTCCTACAATTGTCGTTTCTCTTCTGTATCTAAAACAACTTGGGGCATAAGCACTAATAACATTTACAAATTCCAATCTCCTTGCCACATAGCAACTTCATCTGTATCAACCTATCATCCTTCCGAGAGACCTCGATTACCTCTTTCGACAATCTCCCATCAAGAATCACACGAATTATATTCCTAGCTCCACCATTCCTAGTCATGTGGCTCGTTTTATACCCCAAAACCAAGCCTCGAGATCCTTCTTAAAGGCGCATGATGTTTACGCCTTTTCTCTTCCTCACTTTTACCACTTCTGCCAATTTCCTTCTATGTGACCCCACATTCCATGAACCAATCTGCAAACTAGAGTCCTTCATACCACGCTCCCTCGTGCCACGCTCCCTCGTGCCTCCAATTGCAAGCCCTTAATCATTTGACACCACACTTTGGGCAATGTGGCGCGTCACTTTCGGGCGACGACCTAGCAACCCTTGCATACTTATCCTTGCACCCGGGTCTAACACACCCCTGCTCATTAGACACCACACTCGGGCAATGTGGTGCATCACTTTTGGCAACCCTTGCATATATACCCTAATCTAGGAAATACAGCGCGTCGCTGAGTAGGAAACACCACCACAAAAATATCATTTTGCTCATGTCATGAGATGTGACAAAGTTTTACACCGGTTGTGACTGGCCTACCGAAACCCTCCTCTTTTATCCAGGCTTGGATTGGGTAGTGGGAAACCCAAAGAATTCTAGGATTTGGAGTACATACAGGTTGTCCAACTTAAAAAAAGAAATTATACAATGGGTAAATCAGGGAATACCGTAATACCCTCGGTATGGTGTCTTTTTTATTATTATTATTATTATTATTATTATTATTTTATTTTATTATTTTATTTTTTTCCCTCCTTTCTATTTGCAGTGCTATTAGCAAGTTTACTTTACCCTCTCTATAAGATAGTTTTTGATACCCAACATGTAAGTGTTTGACCCTTGGATCCTATACAGATTTGATAATTAGAGTAGTATTATTTATAACTAAGGGCTTATTTTAGAAGGTGAAGTACTTTGTTGAATGAATTGTTTGTGAAGCCTGAAAGTAGATAAGGAATTCATTTGAGTAGACTAGTGGGACCTTGGCTGAAACACAGTCTTTTCTGCTGATCAGTGCTCAGCTCACATGGGACATAATAGTGTTTGCAGTTTGTCCTATAGTTCATTTGACTTCATGGACGTATGAGTGTATGATTTCGGTATTTTTGGTCATTTACTGATGGAGCTAATTCAGGCTGAGTTTTTGAGCAGTATTACATAAAGTGGTAACGGTTGGGTTGACATTAGGCAGGATGGAGATAATATTTTTATGTGAGATTTATGGGGTGGAATTGCTTTCTATGGGATACAGGGTGACTTTTCATTGAAATTCGGGATGATTTAGTCATCTTATTGAAATTTGGATAGCACATTATAGTGATCAAGTGATGCATCTGCCCTCATGAAAAATTTTAAATTCATCTTTTTAATTATTGCAGATCTGTGGAGATTAGTCCTTCTCTAGCTGAAAAACAAAAGGAAACTGTTGGCCAAGTTCAGAGTCACAAATCAAGATTTACAGTTGAATGTCGTGATGCTGCAGATCGAAATGGATGGGGTGTGTTCTTTTTTACTTTTTCTGCTGTAAGTCTTAACTAATTAAACTTTTGGTCGTTATTGTAGAAAATCTTAATTATACTTGATTTCACAGAGAGCAAATTTAGTTATATTCTCTAAAAAGGGATGGGCTGTGTTCTTTTTTCTGTTGCAACTCAAAACTAATAGAACTTTTGATCATTATTGTAGAAAATCCTTAATCAAACTTGATTTTTCGGGAACACATGTAATTGAATCCTCTAAATAGATTTGTATAATTCTTCAGTATCTGTTTGAGTAGTTGTGTTGTGTAAGCTGTCCATATCTTTGCAGAAATACTGATTCCAAGCATTTAAAAAAAAAAAAAGGAGCAAGGTGCACTGTATTTAACTTAGGACTTTCCAACTTAAGCAGTGTTTGGCCAAGATGTTGGATTAGTTTTTTAAGTTAAGGAATAGAGAATTCCTAGAAGTAGAATTCCCTAGAAGGCATTACTGTTTCTGGCACTTAGATGCAGAAGATCCAATACTGGCCTAACACTATTAGATTATCATACCTGTCCATAATACACTGTTGATGCCTCCAAATGAAGATATATATTATTTTTTTGTCTTTGTTAAGATGATTATGTGTGTATGGTTAACTAAGGTATTTTATTTTTTGTGCAATAAATATGATTTGCATGGAATCATTCCCATCAATGATTTGCTTCAATATAGAAATATATACAACTTTTCTTCTGCACTTATATGAATTCATTCCCATTTACTATCTAATGTAAATGGATGTGATTTTTCTTGTTTTGAGTAGGTAATGTACAAGAGGAGCCATGCTGGGTCATAATGCTAGAGGTATATCAAACTCAATTATTAGTGTCTTGTAAATTGTAATAAACTTATATTGGTTGTTTGATTATAATATTTGCTCTGATTCTGTTTGCTAGTTGCAAAGTGGGGTGGGTAATTAGGGAGTTACTCAATTGGAAAGAGAGGTAGTTGGAAAGAGAGGTATTGCTGGAGAGGAGCCAATTTGATGAGAAGAGAGAGAATTATAAAGGAGTCCTTGTGATGAAGAGAGATAGAAATAGTTATAAAAAGGGTACTAACCGCAACCTTGACTAAAGCAATCCCTCTTCCTTCTTAATATACTACCTCTTATTTGCAACAAAGGGGGGTAACACGGACTCCTAGGCAAAATTTTTCAAACATAATTATTTAAATATAAGGGTAGTACTTAAGTATTAATCAAATTAAATTTAAAAAAAACGAAAAACAAAACCACTAAACCACCAATCCTAGAACCGATAACCACCACCACCGAACCCACTAAAACCACCACCACCGAAAACCACCATAACCGAACCCACTAAAACCACCACCATCGAAAATCCAGAACCCACCGAAAACCACCAACTACGTTGCACGGGGACGCCATTTGGCCAGTGTCCCCGTCCCCGGGACGTTACGGGTACGGATACGCCTCGGGGACGGCTAAGGGACGTCCCCGGGATGCGTTGACTTTTGGGCGACGTGTTGACTTTTTGGGGACGTTTCTAGGGACACGCGTGAGGCTTAACGCCGTCTCCAAGGGCAATTTTAGGCATTTGAAATGTTTAAAACTGTCGACCCTTTTCCATTTTTCCCCAATTCACACTTCCAAAATCAGAAGTTAGGGTTTCCCAATTCTCACTCCCTCTCGGCGGCTCACTCTCTCTTGGCGGTGAGGCTAGCGGCGGCGGTGGTGGAGAGGCTAACGGCTCACCTTCTGTTTCTCACTCTCTTCCATAGAATAAAAACTCGGCCGTTACGTCGCGAAACGGCCGAGTTGTAACGGATTTTGAAGGCACCGTTACGAGAATTCCTGTTTTGTAACGGTCTTTTATAAATCGCCGCAATCTCGGCCGTTTCCGCCGCAATCTCGGCCGTATCGGACGATACACGTCTATAACGCCTGTAAAATAGCTTGAATTGGCGAGTTTGTGGATTTTTCATCTAAAACACCATTGTTGTAGCTAGTTGAACCAATACTGGATCTGAATAAAACTGAGCTGTATTTCTAAATCAGTAAATTGGGTCATATTAAATACACTTAGCCGGCCAGCGTTGAAGGCTTTACTTTTAACATTAAAGGTCGCATGTTCGTGCCCATCTTCCTTTTTTATTCTTTTCCTTTTGACTTTTACATGGCCCAATCCCAAAACCCCCATATCATTTATCCATTTCCCAAACTAACCAAAGCAGCAAACACAAGCATTCACCATTTCTCCTACACGCTTCATATGAAGTGATTTTTTTTAGTTTAAAATCAAGCAAGTAGTGATTAATCATTATTTAGTTAAAGTAACCTAACTTGAAAAATGAACAATAGAATCATGTTATATTAAATTTCCTATTTATGATGATAGGATAAAAGTAGATCGCTTTTTACATGAAGACTCGTCGAGTTTCATTATAATTTTTAAGATTTTAAGGATGAATGGATGATGATGTAATAGATTGCTTTTTATAACATGAAAACTCGTCAAGTTTCATTATAAATTTTTTAACACGTGCGCACCTAAATTTTTATTTATAATTTCTATTTTGGATAGTGCTACTTGAATTTACTTTACATGTTTAAGGATTCTGAACCCCATAAGGAAAATTTTCTGGATCCGCATTGCTTCTTTTGCGCTGTTTAGCTGAGCTCATCATCACCCCTACACAAAATAATGGATAAAGACACACTGTGGGGCCTAAGAACTTTATAATATTGACGAGCTTTTGACCTATGGAGACAGATTGTCAGAGTCTTATGTCTCTATGAGTCTATTAAAACACCTTTGTTTTGAATTCTCTTACTGTACTTGAGGATAGGTATTTAACTTTTATTCCATGGGAGCCCTCTTAGTTTTTAGAAGCATACTTGAGGATAGGTATTTAACTTTTATCTTTAAATTTTACGATTAGGGCCATTTATCTCAAATCCTGTTTTTCATACTAGATCCTTGGTTTTATTTGGAGCCACCTTAGCAATGCTACATAACAAGTGCTCTCTCTATTTTTTTTTTCAGGTGCTTGATAATCTTCCTCACGATCTTATCTATGCTAAAAATCAAGCTTCTCCTTGGGAAGAAGTATGGGTTGAGAAGCAGCTTGACAGGTAGGCATAAAATTGCGAGTTAGATTGTCTTTGTTTATGAATTGACAGTCGAATGCACGCCTGCTCAAGAACAACAATAATTATTACCCATAACCGACGTAAAGAAGCAGAGAAGCTCCATATTTACATAATTATACCGAAAGTTCACTCAAGGGGGGGGGGGGGTATAACTGCGTTTTCCACTAATTTTTTTTTTATTATTGTTTTTTAAAAAAAGGCTACAAATTCACTCAGGTAGACATCTTTGCATTCTTATGATTTGTGTGATTCCATGAGAGGACAAGTTAGCAGGTGGTTTCACATCTCATGTTTATGCAACTATACATTTAGTTTAACATATATTACCAACGTAGGTCAAGCTTGTATTTACTTCTCATGGTCTCTTGCTTGAATTGATTAATCGTAAATAAATTGGGAGATTCCTTAATCTATGCTGCTTTGAATTGGATATGGGTGCTATTTTGCCTAAAACTGTGACATATAAAACATACTATTTAAATCTGGGCTTTTATCATTCAAAGAAAATTATAAACTCCAAATGACAACCAATGATAGATGGACTGGACACTGCTTATAGAATTTGGTGATTTTTTTTTTTTTTTTTTTAATTTTTATATTCTAATTTGATTTTCATATTCTGTGTTTTGGACCTGTTACTCTGTTCAGCAGTTGAGCTATGAGCCATAAATCTTAAATCCAACAGTAACTTGAAGTTAATTGAAATTGACAGGGCAACTCCTTCTGAGTCATACAGACCTTTAAAAGATCGATTAATTACACTTTGCATTGAGATATTCTCCGAAGATATTAATGGCCCAATAAATGGTGTAGCATCAGCTGCAAGAAACATTTTTTCTAAACTTTTCCCTAAGCCTCAACGTTGTTGGCTACCAACCAGCTGTCTGGTAAGCAGAATTTGATTTTACACATCTTTATCTGTTGCTTAAATTCATTGCTTGAAGATGAGATGGCTACTACTGTTCTGTCAGAAACTCATGGAGGCATTACATAGTGCCCTGCCAAAGATGTCGTTGATTGCATCAGATTTTAGTTACCTACCTGATGTGAGGATACCTGGTGTAAGGGCTCCGTTGGTCTCAGCAAAGGTAATTGGTTTATATGTAACAATGCATGGTTTTTTTTTTATTCTGCCTTTTCTATTTATCTTCTTGTGCTATGATTTCTTGAAACTGGCAACCTTCCTCAGAAATTATGTCGAGGTTCCTATATGCTTCTATCTCTGATTACAAGTATTTTTTATTGGTTCTGTGCAGATTGATGGCTGTAGCATAGATTATGATAGCTACCTGGATGCAAAGGTTTGCCTTGTTTTATTTATTTATTCCACCCCCCCCCCTCTCTCCCTTTAAGTCCATGTTCATTGCAAGCTGTGTAAAATTTTATCTAATACTATACTAAAATATCATTAAGATATCATATTCCGCCCCACATCTCGGAGTTTCAAGGTAGGAAGCTGGAGGTGCACTATTGTGCCTGATGACCCTGTTCAGAATTCTCTCTGATATATTCTGTTAGGAATGACATGCCATCCCATCATTGCCACAAATGTTGTGATCATATATAAAAACTGGCCACTGCAACTTATAGGCGTTATTGCATAAAATAACTATGTCAAATAATACAAAAACGTTATTTTTATACTATTGGTTCATCCGCTGGATTTACTATGTCGTTAAATGGATCCCATACTCCTTTGCTACCGGCGAAAAGTGGGTATAAAAAATGGTACGTCTGATGTAAGTTCTGATGATCTGAACTTTGTTACTAATGGCAACCGGGATTAGTGTATTTAGCTTAGGCAATGTGTTTCGTAATGGAGTTTCCAAGTGTTTTCCTTTGTGAGAATCTATCATAAAAATTGATAGATCTATATACATTAAATATTGTAATAAGCTACCTAATAAAGCATAAAATGTTGGCGTTGACTTTTCCTTTTTGCTTATTGTTTTTTTCCTTCCTTTTTTCCTCCACTTTCACCTAAAATTCAATCTTCTCCTTCCTCGAAGCCCTCATGTTCATCTTACTTAACCTGTTGTTGAAGAAGACCAACCCATAAAAAAATGCTTGTCCAATACTTCACCATGTTAAATAGATAGTGGATTTTGTTTCAAAATCATTATTTTCTAAACCCTTTTGAGAAATTTACTTATTTGTTAGAGGTGAGATAGGAATTGTAACTTGCTTTAAGGTTTTTGTTGTTGGTGTCCGCCATTGATGTCAAAAAACTTTTTTGCCATTTTCATCCTCAAGAGTCAAAGATGCTAAGAGCTCACTTTTGAGGGATTATGATGAGGAATTTGCCATTATTTGAAGGGCGAGAGTGAGAATAGAATTTGGTGACTTAGCGGCTACAATGTGAAATCGTGAATTAACTCCTAGAATTCGGTGTCATAAAAATTGTGAGAATGCCTTTGAGGCTGTAATTGGAAGGAAAAAGGCAAAAATATATGATGCCAACATTGGAAAAAAAAGCGTAGTCTAAGTTCTAATAAATTGTACATAACCGCATCCACCTTTTCCTTTTCCATCTTTTATTTATCTTTTCTAGCATTTAGGGCCACTGGTTTTTGATGCTAAACTCAGGTGATAATTTGGTATACCACTTTCAATCAAAGACATAGCAAACCTTGCATACTTATGACAACCCTCATGGCCCCATGTCTATGAAGTGTATCATACTGTGGAGTAGGGAATGCCCCTATAATATATCCACCCGAAGGAGATGAGGATATGTGAGAAAATACCTCAGATTTACTAATTAGCAAGGTCGATCATGTATGTCAATCAATCAAGCCTTAATCCCATAGGTGGGATGGATCGACTACATAAACCAAGAGTGATTATTGTATATAGTCATCCACAAAAATCTTCCTCTTCCATCCTTTACGATCAAGTACCTCATTCTCATGCAACTCCATAAGCTAACCAATGACAATAATTTTCTTTGGTTTACGATCTTCCTAACTTCTAACCAAGTCATTTTTGGTCTTGCTTTACCTCGTTTAACCTCTCCATGATCCCACTCTTCGTACCGGTGTACCCTAGGGTCTCTGTCATACATGCCTGAACCAATGACAAAATTTTTCTTTAGTTTGTCTGCAATACCTAGAACACCCACTTTAATGTGTATAACTTCATTTATGATTCTATCCGAGTGTTCCTGCACATCCATCGTAGCATGTGCATTTTCATAACCTCCATCTTTTTAATGTGCTCCTTCTAAAAAGCAACACCGGTCTTATAGAAGTACTATAGAATTTCCTCTTCAACCGTAAAGGAATGCTTCAGTCACATAACACTCCCATGGCCGCTCTCCATCCAAGTCCCGTGGGCCACATCTTGATTAATGTCACCATTTTTTGGATGATTAACCCAAGATAATTAAAACACTCACTCATGGTCAAATCCTTTCCGTTCAAACTCACTAACTCACTAACTCACTACATCACCTGCTTTGTGAATCAAAGTGGCATACTAGATATTCGGTCTTACTCCTACTTAGCGTAAACCCTCTAGATTCCAACTTTTGCCTCCATTGAACCAGTTTGGCATTAACCCCATCTTTAGTTTCATCTACCAAAACGATATCATCCACAAACAACATGCAACATGATAAGTAAAATGTGAAGGGTTCTACTCTTGGAGATTAAGTAAGCCGAATAAATTGTTGCCATGGTTGGCCCTATAGCCATTTATTTTCTTTTTTTTTCTCTCTCCTCTCTTTAGTGGCATTTTTTCTTTTCATTTTTTATATTCTTCCTTATTTCCAGTCCTCTAAGAGATAAATTAGACATGAAGTTATTCGTAAGAAAGTGGGTGTTGCAGGCATTGCAAACAAACTAAGGGAAAATTGTCTGCGTTGGTTCGGGCATAAGAGTGGAAGAGTGGGATCATGGAGAGCTTTAACGATGTAAACTAGAAATGGATTTGTATGAGGATGAAGTATTTGACCGTATGGTGTGGAAAAGGAAGGTTTTTGTGGATGACTATGTGGAATAATCACTTTTGGTTCATGTAGCCGACCCCACTTATGGGATTAAGACTTTGATTGATTGATTGATTTTTTCTGTCCCCTTTCATGTGGTCTCAACTCTCAAGTCCCACAACATGTTTTTTGTTTTATCGAGTCATCTTCTTGGGTTTTATATTTGTGATTGGGTCACAGTATTTCACGTGGCTCAAGTCCCACAACATTTTTTTTTTTTTAAATCTAGTTATTTGCTAGGGTTGTGTATTAGTGATTGGGTTTTAGACCCACAGAAGTTACTTGGACCTGGCAGTTTATTCTAGAGCTTAGTAGTATAACTCTCTTTGTTAAACTTATAAAATAATTCTAATCTATATTCTATACCATGTATTAGTTTAGGACAGTGTTCCTGTGTCCTAAATTTTCATATTTAACTCATTTTTGTACTCGTATGCGATGCAGTTCAAGTATCATTGCATAGTCTAAATAGGTTTGAGCTATGAAAAGCATACTTCTAATGATCAGGATAATACTTTATAATTAATTTCTTTCTTATCTTCCTGTTGCAGGGTGATGCTGATATCTTTTTCCCAACAGACTTCTGGCTTTTGGAACGCTTTGATCATTATTGCTCTGGTTGGCTGGAAACAAGCCAAAAAAATCCATTGAAGGAAAAGAAGAGGAGGCGGACGATTACAGTAAGTAGCATGTCTGACTTAATAGTTCTTTCAATTAATTAAATACTATGTGGGTTGGCCAACTGTTAGCTTACCTTAATGTCCATGCAGAGTGAGTGATTCATGTGGATAATATGAAGTTTGGGAGAATTCATGTTTAATCCGTCTTTTGATATCGTTTGCCATCTCATTCTCTTCCCATAATAAATTTAGCTTAAGATAATTTCAGGGTTATAATTTAAGTTTTAATAGGTTAAAATAACTTCAAGTGTAATTTTATTCCCTTCTACTAGCATGACCTAGCAGCTTAGCCTATGGAATTGGATTGACTGATTATGGTCCAACAACTTGTGCCTGTCATCATGACTGTGTGTAACATTGATTTTAGCTTCCTGATGTGGCAACGACTTTTGAGCTTTTATCCTTTCCGAAGGTAGTCTTTTTCCGAGGGAAGTAGTAATTTTCTCTTTAAATTTTGTTCTTAAGAAGGTAATTTAATACCTTTTTTATTCCAGATTACTTGACACGTTTCTTTTCGGCACACATATTAAGGTGAAGTGAGAGGAAAAAGAAAAAAAATACCCTTACCCTACCATTATCCACCTATTCTTACCTTGGCCCTTCTCGTTGGCAAGTTGACTGAACAACCAGCTGCCACCATTCCCACCTTTGTCACCACCTTTTTCCTCACCATAAAACCTTCTCCCCTCTCCTTTTCCAGACCTACAGTCCACCACTCCCTCGGTTGTTTAGGGTTGTGGTTTCTACTTTATAAAGAAGCCGAAGGAGATAGAGATTGCAGGAAGAGGGTGGTGACTCAAGTTAGGTTTCCAGAGTGGATATGGATCATGTCCCACAAAACATTGCCGACATTGATCATTTTGTGCTTCTGACGTTGACACTTGTTAGAAGCTTCGTTGGCGAGGAAGCTGATGAACTCCAACATGGTAGCCTGCATGATTTCCATGCGTCTTTCGAGATTTTAGCCATCCATTGGAAAAGGCTGCTTGTTTATGGAGGAGTGAGTGGAAGAAAGGGTGAGGGGGTTAACTGCAATTCTGCAAGAGATTTGTTGGAGTGGGGTCATTTGTCAAATATCTAGTGGTGGAGTGAGGAAGGTGAGATGATGGAATGAGAGATTAGAGGATTTGTTATGATGAAAGGAGGAGAGAAGAGGACTAAGATAAATTAGTGACGGTAAAATTTACATTGTAACATATAAAATTTACCGAATATGGAAATGTTTGAACTGACAAGAAACTGTCCAAAGAAGAATACCTAATCAGGGCTGTCACCTAATTTGGAACGAAGGAAGTATGTCATCATTCTCCTTGATCATATCTTGGTTGACTTATTATGGCATTGATTTTCTGTGTTTTCATTTAATAATAGTTTCCATCAGTTTCAATTGGCCTTTTGTAACCTCCCCAATTTTTGTTTGCAGCTTGATACATCTGCTTTCATGGAACAATTCGGGCTGCCGTCAAAAACAAGAACCAAAGATGGTTACAATCCGCTGTTAGATGACTTCAAGAATACCAAGTTCTATCTCAGTGTGCCAACTTATAATATCAAATAGGTGATGGAGAACTTCCCTTGGCTAGAAATTCAGAGACCCTAGACAAAACACTTGCCTTGTAAGCTGCCCCAGGTTTTCACTTGTAATTTTCCATACCTAGCAGTAGGTAAAAGATTAGAAAAACCTGATAATAAATATAGAAGTATAAGTTAACCAAAATGGCATAGTGATTCAAGCGACATCCCTTTTAATTATTGAACATTTTTATTGTTTAGCCAATGTAAAGATGGTGGGCATTGGCTCAAGTCCAAAAAAAAAAATAAAAAAAAATAATGAGACATAAAATCACATGGTAATGGATATAATCCAATAAACTTCTATGGCCCCGTTCTTTAGAGCTGTTTTGCTCTGCTCTGTAGAAATTTGCTCTAATCTGCTTTGCTAATTTCTACTCTACTCTGTCCAGAAGCTCAAAAGAATAGGGCCATAGTCTGTCATTTGTTACTTTCCAATATTTGAATTTGGTAACATAAAGTACTTTTTAGTTTTTACATAATATACGTGGTGCTCGAAAGCTCAAAAGAACAGGGTCATAGTATGCCATTTGTTACTTTCCAATATATTTGAATTTGGTAACATAAGTACTTTTTAGTTTTACGTAATATTTGTGGTGCAAATATATACTACACTTGAATTTACCTAATTCCATTTCCCTAAAAAAAATATTGACAAGGTGGAACCCCTTGATCTATTGTGAATTGTGATGATTGTGTGTGATGCAACGGTTGGGTGTTACACCCTAATACCGACGGGATGTTAAATTTCAATCATGTAATCTGACAAGTCAACGCTCCCCTTTGGCCATGCATGTCGTCATATGTATATATGGGGTCTGTTGACTTTCTAACTAAACTCTAGCTTGTACGATTGATCTTAACTCTTGCTTTCAATATTTGACGTTTTATTATCCGCAGCCCTACATGATTTGTATCTCTTCAAACCTCAATTCTCAATGCATTTTTATTTGGTCATACTCATAATATATCCTCCCTTCTCTTTCTTGTATAATCGTATTTGTAATTAATAGCTGCCCATTTCAATTTTGTCCAATGTACATGATGGATGTGTTGTGTTTATAAGGATTTGACATTTCTTTTTGGATTTGCTCCAATTCCAATTTTTTTTGAGTCACACATTGTCAATGGCTCTATTCGCTAGCTATGTGCTTAGTTGCTTACTTTAAAAACATCAAAATAACAATAACGAAATATTAGTAGCATATAATACGACTTTGTTATAAGAGTCATATTATACACATTTATAGAGTGACCTTACTGATTGTACATGTCTGTAACTTTTTGTTCCAAGGTATTATAAAATTTTAAATTAACGTACAACATATTAAGTTAATAACTTTTTATCTGAGGAAATAACCTTAAATGATATTGGTATTGGCATGAATAAAAGTAAAAATTTGCTGGACAGAAGCAGCAATATCCTCTGCAGTGAACCGTGCTTCATTAGCAACCTACAAAAATCGGTATTGAGTAATATTATTTTGCTGGATTACATGTACTCTATATAGTCTACAATGGAGTATCTGAATCAGGCAGTTATTATATTAGAATGGATCGAGAGAGTAAGGCAAGCAATTTACCTTAACATTGAAAGAATAAAGAACAGTCTGCTCAATGGTCGTGATGTTGGTGTGGAGAATAGTGAAGTGCAGATCCTCAAGGGCAGCAATGGCCTTGATGAGTTGGCCATGCCGTCTGCGAGAGAGTATCTTAATTAAAGCATCAAAACCTAAGACCTTCACTTCTACGTCTGCAAAGCAAGACTTGCTCTCAGCAGTCTCTTCGCGGAGCAATCCTGCAGGCGTAGGCGTAGGCGTAGCCATAGGGTCCAACTGATGATCCAAAAGCCTGAGTTGATCATCATCCTGATGATGGTACTGAGTACCCATTGGTGGAGGAAAAGCCAGAGGTGGTTGTACTTGTGGCGTTTGCTGAACTAGTCCTAGTGCTGTTGATGATGATGAGGTAGAAGAGTCTCCCATGGCCCGCGGTTGATCTCCATACAGTCTCCTCCTCTTCTGGGACTCCAGACACTGTAGTAGTTGCTCCAGTTCTCTCACAAACTCTATTGCTCCTCCTATTATCGATGCTTGGTCTCCCTACATTACCATCTTCATAAGTACCAATTTACATGCTACAATGTAAAAAAATTAATCAATCAATTTTATCCTAATAAAAAAGAAAGGTATAGTTACATACCCTTTGGACATAGGAGCTCGGCATAAGAGATCTCAAAACGCGAAGGTGCTCGTTCATTTGCTTTCTCCGGTTTCTTTCAACGGCAATATGAGTCATCCTTTGACTTTCCACTTCCTCATTTGTCTTGATACTACGAGGCCTTTTCCTCTTGCTGCTGCTGCTGCTGCTTTTATTATTATGCCCCATTGTTCCTGCTGCTGCTCCTCCTTCGGCTCCAATTCTCTCACCAGTACTTAACCCCATAAGATTATTATCATCATTAGTAGCATTACCGAGAAACTCAAGCTGCACCGGGTTACTGAGATTGTTAGTAGATGTTGACAAAACACCAGCAGTAGCAGCAGCAGCATCTTCACCATATTCTCTATCTCTGAAATCCTGTAAAGGATCACCAAATCCTCCATCTCTATCATTAATACTGTTATTGGTTGGAGTATTGCTATCATCGTGAATACTGCTTGTATTATTATGACCTGGGACCATATGTGAGTTACTAAGTACAGGAAACTTGAGGAAATAAACAGGGTCTATCCCAGTGATGGTGTGGTCGTCCTCTTGATCCGCGTTGCTATTCTCCTGAATATCATGATGCTGCCTAGGATGGTTAAGTGCCAACTTTGGCCCAAAATCTGCAAACTGCATAACATCTGCAAAGCTCAGTGTCCTATCCATGTTAATGTTGGGCTGATCCAGCAGAAGTGGTTGTTGATGTTGATGTTGATGTTGCTGCTGCTGTCGTTCCGAATGATAAGCTGTTCTTGATGGAATCCCGTTGTTAATAAGGTCGGGAGGAGGATTGCTTAGCATGTAATCCACCATAACTGATCCGCTCCCGTGAGGTTGATGATAAGGCAGCAATGAATTATTATTTGTAGCAGAAGAGTCATCTACATTGGCAGAAAATCTCCCTCCTGCTTCAGTGGCCGCCTGCACAAGTAGTGGAGACACAGAGTACCCCGTAAATAACATGATAACAAAAAGGGTAGCTACTAGCTAGAGTAGAGAGAGAGGTAAAAAAGGGTTTTGTCAACAAAAATAAGTGTACATGTAAATTTTAAATAAACTATGAATGATCATGATCGTACCTCGTAGTTGATCTCTTCTCTCTGCATCAGACTTTATACACGTCGTTAGTAGGACCTAGCAGTTAAAATTTGTTGGGTACGTGGGACAAGATCGATGATGTAACATTAAATAGGGAAAGTGGCCTTAGTTGAACTCTGTCACAAGAGGACAATATATGTTTGTATATGAAATTGTATTCATAGGTGGTGTATAGTACGTGGGCTTCCTGCGCGGTTGTGGGAACTGGGAAACTACCAAATGTTAGCAGCGACTACTAATCTTACAAGGGATATGAGAGTGATATTCATGGTTTTTCCTTATATTAGCAACAATTTAGTAACTCGCATACGTGCAATATTGGATGTGAATTATGGTGAAGAAATGACATACAAGCTAAGTTACAAGGAGGCCTTTAGAGCAGTATGTCTCGTTAAATTTATGAATGAAAACAATTTAGTATTGTAGATGAATACATACATGTAAATTTGGAGAGATATATATAGTCACATGCAAAAACAAGTCAAGAAAGAAAAGAGGGGTGGGGGTTTGACTTAATCAGGAGCCTTTGCAGAGTAAATATCCAGCAGCAGAGGCAGCAACACCAACAGCACCACCATCAATTAAATATGGGATTGGATGACTTGATTTGGCTTTTCATGATTCTAATTAATGTCATTCACAGGCCAACCAACGCTCTTTTTTTCGTTTTTTTTTTGGCTTTCTCATGATTCTAATTAATCTTCTTCCATTCAACTCCATCACTCGTAATATCAAAACTTACTTAGCTTTTCAAATTTCAAAATTTCCTTTTTTGAATTCTCCATCCATCCTAAATCATGATTTCCGTGATATATCTTATACTTTTAGACATCCAATCAGTTTTCTAAACCTCTTCGCAATCCATTACCAATATTTGTATAAAGACCTCTTGGCAGATGCATGAAAATGCTTGTCGACCCAAACGGGATGTCAGTGGCCTGCCCCAGTGGGGCGGGGATGGGTCTCGGTGTGACGGGTGCTGGGGCAGGGATGGGGAGTAAGATGCATTTTTGGGGATTCACCTTTTGTACTTTTCTTCGTTTGGGGACTAACCTTTCACTTTTCATCGTTTGGGGATTACCGATCACTAGAATTCAAAAATCCGGTCACTTGATAAAAAAAATAAAATAAATAAATCTCCCTAAATTTGTTGATTACAACTATCAAAAGATAAAATTCTTAATATAAAATTAATCAATAGTCCTTGACTCTAAAAAAATACTACTCCGTTTCGTATTATCTGCAACAATTTCCCAAAACGGAAACTATACATTATGTGCAACAAACCAAAAGTTACCTCTTTTAGTAATTTTTTTTGTATAAAATTACCACCATACCCTTACTAAATTTTACTTAACTTTAATAAACAACATATTAACTCTTTAACCCAAATTAATTTATCTCTAATTAAAATCCTAACCCACATCCTCTCTCCTCCCTCACAACCATATCCACCATCAACACCACCAATTTTTCTCTCTCCTCCCTCTCAACCACCACTAGCACCATCCTTATCCTCTTTCTCTCTCTTCTCTCACTACACCACCACCACGCAGTTCCACCGCACCACCACCGCCTTGCAGATCCGCACCATCTCTTCTTTCTCCTCTCTTCTCTTGTGGTTGTGGGCGCATTTCATGGTGGTGAGATGGGGTTTCGATTCTTGATGGTGGTGAGGTCGGGTTTCAATTTGATGGTGGTGGTGAGGTAGGTCGGGTGTCAATTACCCTCGATTGCCGCGCGCCCCTCGTACTGGTGACAGTCGCCGATTTCTCCAACTCCAGTTCGCCGCCCTTTTCACCCTTTTCAAAGTCGTGGTCGTGCGATTTGGGGGTCTGCGATTTGGGGTCTGCGATTGGGGGATCTGCGATTTTGGGTGGTGGTGGTGGGGCTTCGTGCGATTTTGGGTGGTGGTGGTGGGGTTGCGATTTGGGGGTCTGGTTGTGGTGTTGGTGGTGGTATAAGTTGGCTGGTTGGGTTTTGGGTGGTTGTGGTGGGGTTATTTTCTCTCACATCCAATTAATCACATGCCCTTTTGTTTCCTAATCTTTGCTTAAGAAATTTTGCCTTGGAAAATGTGCAAGGCCCTTTGTTGCAGATAATACGAAACGGAGGTAGTACATTGGCAGAAAACCCTTGTAGAGTCTAAAGTGTTAAAAATTATAACTGGATGACCCCAAAATGTTAAATTTTCTGCAAAAAATAAATAAATAAATAAATGATAATAATAACTGGGTTAGTAATGAGAATTTTTTAACACAATAATATTTTGATTAAGTCATGTTTGGCAAAAGTAGCGGTAGAGGGTAGCGGGTAGCTGTTGAGTAGCGGGTAGCTGTCAACAAGTGCGGGTGAAGGTTAGCTGTCAAAGTAGTTGTTGATAGTATGAGTGTTTGATAAATTTAGCGGTTGAATTATGTAAAAATAATAAAATTTACAAATTAAATAGTTACTATATTATAAAATCGGTAAATAAAAGTCATAAATAATAAAGGCCCTAATAATAATAATAATAATAATAATAATAATAATAATAATTACATAGGTACTAGTATAAAAAAAATACATTTATCCTCATCATAAAAAAACAATACTAATAATAACAACAACAATAATAATAATAATAATAATAAATAATAATAATAATAATAAACAAAGCAATTCGATAAAAGAGACTACTGGTGTTTCTTATAATAATCGACGTCTCTCATTTCTCGCCTTCCATAAAGCAGCTACTATTTTGTCACGAATGATTTTCATTTCAGTGCAACTTTCTGTGCAATTTTGACCTTGGGGAGTAACACGGACATCAGGAAGCTCACATGATGGTATAAAATTAGGATAATCCTCTAACACTCGAAAAAGGGGATCTTCTGGAGAATTTATTCGAATGTAGTTATGTAGTGCAAATGTTGCAACCACAATCCGTATTTGTGTCTCAATGCTAAATTGTGGCATACTTCTTAGTATCTTCCACCTTTGCTTCAAAACTCCGAAACATCTCTCAATGCAACTTCGAAGAGATGAGTGCCAACGATTAAAAGTTTCACGCTCATTTTTTGGAGGCTCGTTTTCAAATTGTGACTTATGGTATCTTGTCTTCGGATATGGTACAAGATAACCTTTTCGATCTGGATACCCTTTGTCGGCCAAATAGTACTTACCTATCACAAATTCACAATATAAATGATATTAACATAAACTACCTAATAATTACCTAAAGATAATATATACTATAATTTCAAAGAATTATGCACACCTTCAGGCAGTTTAGGAAACTTAAAAGCTGGAGATTCAATTGCATGAAGAAATACACGAGTATCATGCGCGGAACCTTCCCAACCCGCTGATACAAACGTGAAACACATATCAAAATCACATGCAGCTAATACATTAAATGTAGGAATTCCTTTTCTTCCTCTATAAGGCATTTGTAGAGCCTCCGGTATACATGCCTCTATATGTGTACCATCAATACATCCAATACAATCCTGAAATACAATCAATATTAGTCTTTCATATCAAAACTATAATCTAATGACATAATCTAATGACAACACTACAAAAAAAAAAAGGAAAAAGATTACCTTAAAATAAGGCATATATCTTGCATCTGTTGTTATTTTTGCCGACACTTGTGTAAAAGTTGGATCATATGGTCTTATAATATCATATGCAAGCCCCTTGGATTTTCGACAAGAAATTGAATTGAGGACATCATGAAATGCCCTACTTATAGTTTCCCCGGAACGTTGAAAACGCTCACCAAGAACTCTATTTGAGGCACCTTGAGCAATTGCAATCCAAAGTTTGCGCATTCTTTCCTCATCAATATCCATATTAATAACAAACCTGCCAATTATAAAAATAAGTCATGAATAAAACTATCATAAAAAGTACTAAAAAATTTCTCTAGGAAAAACATACATAACACAAATAATCCAAGTATTTCACATAGAACAAATCTAAATTTTTATTTTACCACTAGAGAAAACAAAAAAACATTTTTTTTTCTAAACTAATACTAGTTATTACCCTTAATATATAGATATGCTAACCACTTAGCTCTGCTATCATCATCCTCCATACTCAAAAAAATCTCTCTTTTAGTTGCATCTCCAATGACAGTAGTAGCAAAGCACCAAAACTCACTATGTTTCTCCAAATACTCATTTTCCACCATACGACTTATGGTATTCATTGCTGTGGAAATCGTGGACACATTTGATGTACTACTTTGACTAATTTGTTTAACACATTCTGTCATTTCAATAATTCCCTTAGATATCATTGCAGATCCCGCTGATTGTCTTCTTGTACGTTTCACTTGACCACTATTAGACTTTAATGGAAGCTGCTTTTGAATCTTATTAGAAGGACGAGTGTCATTGTTTACAGCTTCACTAGTCACTTGTGATGACCTACTTCCCGAACTACCTAAGTTAGCATCATTACGTGCTTGCTCTATAAAATGTTGAAAAAAAATTCCCCTCATCATTAAGTAGATCTTGAGCATATTGGTCACTTGGAAAATAGTTATCACCACCATCATTATCAATATTCCCTTCCTCTAAATTTTCATTTTGTATAGTAAGATCTTCAAAGGGGTCTATTGAGGGCACATAAACATTCTCTCCTGTTGCATAAGAATCTCCAAACAATTGTTCCCACTTTTGTTCAAACTCCAAGTTTACACCCCTTAGTCGAAACCTTTGGAAATCTGAATTTTCCTACATTAAATTATTATAAAAATTAAAATGTTATTAAAAATAATTTCATACTATAATTGTTAAAATGAAGATTATATAATAGATTAAATTGTGAATTTTACACACCTTGATTTTTCTTTGCCACCATTCATTTGTAGCGTCAATTTTTCCCGACTTTGGATCCCATCCTATACCCGTCTCTGATTGATTTAAGTTTTTCCAAAGACGCCAATCTTTTCTCATTGTGTCATATTTGTTCTTGCAAGTATTTGAATTACTTAATTCACGACCAATTTTTTGTTCGACATCCGTTTGAATTTCCTTCCACCTAAAAAATTGTGCCTTCCCATTTTCCTTTATAAATGCAAGACAAACATCACATAGGGTGATTGAATCCTCGTCACTCCACTTAAAACTACCGCCACTGCCTCGTGTTTCACCGCCCCGCGTTTCCTTTGTTATTTTTTTTTACTCGATGATGAGGCCATCTAACCACCAAGCACATAAAATCATCAATTCAACCAAGTATTAACAAAATAGCACATACACCACATATTTTAAGTTCAATAACAAATATTTAATACTTTCTGATTTTTGCAACTCTGATTTCAATTTATAGGTAAGGCCTAGCATATAAGAATAATAGACATTACAAGCTTGCCTTGTTTGACCATAAATTATAAGATACAAGCTAAGGTCAGAACATAGGAGTAAATCAACCATTAGTATAATCACTTCTAAAACCTTAAAGAGCTATGACTGACAAATCAATTATTACAAAGACCATATATTGAAAAAAAAAATTAGCATAATCTTGAATAATTGGTAGTGGCAAAAACAAATTTAATACGAAGTAATAATTATAGCACTCGAAACTACGGGAATAAATTCTATCAAAATTTCACCAAAGGCTCTAATTTATCATCTTGTGTAAAACACACACATACACGCAATTATTTAAGAAATACTCTTAATTACTCGTATTAAAATACGAAATACTAATGTATGAATCATAGTCAACGTAACTACACTTACATGCCCTCAATCAATTTAATTATGTTGACAACAATATATATTGATAATAAAAATATATAAAAAGAACGTAAACTTCAGTTTACACCATGGTTTCAGTTTGATTCATAAGCATAGTATGAAAACCATCAACGAACACTTAACCAATTTCAATTAGTGATCACAGAATAACAATTAGATACCCAAAAGATGAATTAAAGAATACAAAATCATATCATCAATTCAAAAAAAAAAAAAAAATCAGAATAAAAAAAAAATCCAAAAAAAAAACAAGGGATATATTTAAGGAGAGAACTCTTACTTGAACAATGATAAATTGATAATTGGTGATCAAGAGAACTTTGATGATGGAGGAATTTGATAGGAGATGGAACTTTGATGATGGAGGAATTTGGATGATAAATTCAAAAAGTTGTTTGACGTGATAAATAAGAAAAAGTCAGAAATTTGCCTACACCGCTACTTTTGTGGGATAAAACGCTTGTTATCCTAACGTTTGTGAAAATCTATCCAACCACTACCTCTACCGCTACCCACTACTTACACCGCTGCGTTGCGAAACACTACTAATTATACCTACTAGTGTTTTGACCTAGTCAAAACGCTACCCGCTACTCAAAACGCTACCACCAAACAGGCCCACCGAATTGACACGAGTGGAGCAAAAAAAAAAAAAAAAAAAAAAGTGAAAATAATACCCTTAGTGTTTGAGTTGTTATGTAATTTCTGCCATTTAGAGAAATAAAGCCACGGTTTGATGATGAAATGCTACCTTGAGTTGATTGTGATTTAACTGATTGTTGGGTATGTGTCATTATTTTTATTTAGTTGTACAAAAAAAAAATTAATAATTACTTTATTGGAAAATTTTTAATATCTATCGGCAATCCCCAAACGATAAAAAGTGAAAAGTGAGTCTCCAAACGATGAAAAGTACGGACAGTGAATCCCCTAAAATGCATTTTACTCCAGGGATGGGATAAAAACCATACCCGATTACCCGTCATGGGTGAAGGGGCGGGGGTGGATTTTAAGTTGTACCCGCCCCGCTCCACCCGCTCCATCCCCGCCCCGCTCCACCCGCCCCATCCCCACATCATACCCTCATATATATATGTGTTTAAAACAAAATTATACTTCCTCCGTTCTATTAATATTGCAACAATGGACTTTTTGCACTATTCATCACTCTTGTTTGACCATATAATATGATTTATACATTAAGCAAAATATAGTTATATTCGTCTCATAAAATACTTTCACGATATCAACTTTTTATAATTGGTAATCTTACACAACTATAGATATTTAGCATATAAAATGTGCTTTGGGATGCGTAATTTCCTCCTTGTTGAAGTATTAATAGAACGGAGGAAGTATACTTTTATACTCCGTATCATTTTATAAAATAATTATATGAAATAAAATATTAATTCTAATATTTTGTATTACACTTATTATAAAAAAGACGTGTAATATTAAGAATGTTTATTTTTTAAATTGTAATCCTATTAATTATGATTGTGTATTTGAGAGGATTAGGGGGGTCTTGGGTGGGGATTAGGTGGGGGTGAATATCCAAGTGGGGGGCAATCCAAAACAACCCAGTTCGTGAACTTCTGCACCAAACTCAAGGCACAATATACATTGTCAATCACCATCAGAATAACAAGGTACAATGCCACATGAACCATGTCACACTTGAACAGAGAAATTATGATGTGTACTCAAAAGGCTGTGGGGGTTGAGGTTCCTCATCAACAGCCATGGCAGCCACAGTTCCCTGTTGCACTGGTGCAGTGGACCCAGCAGCAGCATTTGTTGCTGCAGAAGCAGGTGCATCTGTAAGAGACAATACCTCTGGCTCCTCAGGACGCAAATCTTTCAGAAGGACAAAACCAGAGGCAGCCAACTTCACAGGCATATATCTGCTTCCCTCTAAGAACTTGATGAATTTCTCTTGAGCAGGAACTACCCTAGCAGGATTAGTTAAGGTTTCAAAAGAAGGTTCTGGCTCAACCTTTTTTTCTGGCAGATTATCAACCTGCCAATTGCAAGGAAACAAACCACGTCAGATGATCCAGTTACCCATATAAACACTAATGAAGTGTGGAGCATGAATGACATACCAGCATAGAGTCTCCCTCCTCTGTAGACGACTTTCCTTTTCCAGTGGCAGATGTAGAAGCTGAGGGCTCTGAACCAACAGACTTCTCTTTAAGCTCTGTCTCCTTTTTCACTCTAGCTTTGGCTTTTGCTGACGTTGATAATACAGCAGTGGGAAGTTTCACTGCCGATGTAGTGGTGGGTACAGATGTTGGCTTTGGATACTCAAACAAGGAGGGTTTTGCGTGAGACAAAAACTCAAACTTTGGAACTTTCAAGTCATAGTTCAACCCAACAAAAGCTGTAGGGGAGAATGACAAGCTTATGAAATAAATGAGAGGATACCAGTACCAAAACTGGCTAAAAACAGCCAGACCAACCACCGCAGTAATTTTGTCATGTTTTGACTTAGACAGCAGCCTAATTGTCACATTCCTTCCACCCGCATCAAGAATCCCAGATGCCAAAATAGCTCCCATCTTGCTCATGGTATCTTCATGCTTGTCAAGAATTATCTTCTCCAATTGTCGCCTAAAAAAAATACTATATGATAACGGACATGAAACTATGAAAGGACAAAAAAGGAGATGATAGATACAATT